CAAAATTGTTAAAACTCAAACGCAAATATCTGGTTTTCTGAAAAACTGAAAGCTGTACTTGAAAGGTTCATTAGCGCAAATGTTCTGTTCCCATTCAAAAATCCTGTTCCCGCAAAAGCCATTAAGGACATAAAAGAACACTCGTCATTGTGCATGATTAGAGCATTATAAAAATTACTTCTTTGTGGTCACGATTTTTCGAAATTGATAAATGTATAAGTTCTTTCACATAATATTGAGTTGGGATGAATATATTGAGATATTAAATTACCTTAGTTCTTGAAAAAATCATAGATAAACTGAGAGTTTACATTTAGATAATCGGAATAACATTAGGGAGTATTCGGCTTAACTTTAGACGTTTATTGTTTAGATAATTCTAGGAGTATGGTAGAGTTGTTTTGAAGATCCAGCGCGAAAGGAAGCAACAATAAACATTTTATTACTCGAAATTGAAATTTCCTCTTCGAAAAGAACTTTTATAAAATTGCGCCATCAGGCGAAATGCAAGTATCTGATCTATTATAATAGATACATGTACTGCAGTATCACAGAATTAATATATTAATTCCCTACCATTTTTAAATGTTCTTATTTCACTCTTATTTAACGTAAGACAAATAGGAAATCGTCACAAATAGAAGATTGTACGATTGTGATTTTTGAGAATGTATGATTTTTGCCTCTAGCTAAGCTAATTTTCCACAGTTCTTTTAGTAAAAAAACAAATTTCACATTATTGTTACTAACACAATGTTGTTATTATGGATTTTTATAGTGTGTATCTTTCAAACCTAACAAAACGTCCTTACTTTGTTTACTGTGCTGTTAAACGCTTAATATGTATCGAAGAAAGCAAAGCGTTTAAGCTCATTAAAATAATATAGCATATTTTAAGCTCATAATTTTGCATACGGATGCCAAATCAATTTCAGAATTTGAATGTAACACAATGTTCCGGTTCCGTGGATTTACCAGCAAAAAAGCCATTTTTGTCCTTCATAAAATTTCTCGCGAGAAATCACTTATTTAACTTGTTGATCGAATGAGTGGGTCTATTTTCGGAATAAAAGCATACGGGTGTTCGAGGCCCGGTGGAGGTCGATTTAGCTAAAAATGGTCATATACAAGGTGCCACCAGCTCAAGATGTTTTCCATTTACCACAGCATTTGCCTTTTCTCCTGCTAATACGAATATAAAATAAAGCAAAAGTTATATAAATTTTCAATTTCAAACATTTTGAAATTAAGAAAGTAACTATTGATTGAGCGTTCACATTTATTTCCTAATATCATTTACTTCTAAATAAATAAGAATTACTTAAACTGCATCGTTTTCCCATCTATAACCTATACTAAACTAATAAATTCATTTCATAACTTCAATAGCGCCAGTGTGCCACTTAATCCCCTCGTAAACTCAATTAGTGCGAACTCGATCATTATGGTTCCTTAGAACACTGTTCAGTAAAGTCCGTAATTACATTAAAAGCGCTACAGCATGGATGTAAAGGATTTAAAATGGATTTTGGGGGTGCAGTTTCTCAAAGTGGAGGATTGGAAACAGTGAGGGCGCTTCATCAGACCATAGTCGCACTTCGAGCCGCTCTTGAGGAGAGTAAAAATGAAATTTTAGAGCTCAAAACGAAAGCCTGGCCAGTTGAATCGGTTGAGGAAGTTATACATGCATTGTCAATTGAAAATCATGTTTTGAGGCGGAAAATTGTCGAGACTGACTTGGAGACGCCAAGAACTGTTGAAGAATTCACTAAGCCTGAAGACATATTTTGTACTGTTGAGGATGTGAAGCATTTTGTGGTTGAAGAGAAAAAAAGCATTGAGTGCCAAACGGATTCTGATATTTACCTACAAGCTGAATGTGAGTCTTTGTTGGGGCTTAGGAAAGAGCAAGAAACTGACAGTTATTTGAATAGTAGACCAACTATTAAGCCACATAAATTCAAGAACGTAACAATTATTTCCCCCACAGAAAGCCTAAAGCAGTCCTCCAGTAAAAAAGCAAGTAAACTACAAACTAGAATATCCATTAAAGCAAAAAAGACATCTAATAATGCTTCCAGATCATTGGAAAGCTTAACAGTATTAAAATATCCTCTGGATAAATCATTTTCATTTAAAAAGACTCTGAGCTTTTCGAATTTGACTGCAGTTAAACGAGAATTCACATTTAAAGAAGAGCCTGATGATACAATGAGTTTTTCAAGAGAAAATTCTGAGGAAGCAGTCCCGAATCGTTATGATGAACAGTTGATGAGTCCACAGAATGACTTGGACCAGGAAGTGGACGATATTGAGCTAATTTTTACCACTGATGATACAAAAGATCAAGACTTCAAAGAAGAACTTGTCCCGATTGATAGCAGGGAATCGAATTCGAATCTTTTAAATTTTCCTTTGAGTGACCTGGACCAGGTCTCAGATCGGGAGCTGGATGACGATGTTTTTAACGACGACAGTAATCCAGAGCAAACTAATTACCGTCAGTCTTCGTTTGAAGTTAAACGGGACAATTCGATTTTTAATTCGCGATCGGACAATTCGATCAATCACGAAAAAAGCTTAAAAAGCTTCTGCTCCTATCAGGATTCCAGTTTTGAAAACAAATCATTGGAAAAGGATGAAAGCTTCGATAGGTTCGAAGAAAGGGTGCGTATTGTGGAAACGGATATTTCCAAATGTGGAATTCACGAAGTTGAATATGTGGGATCCAGAAGGAATACTTGCCCGAATCCTATTCAATATAGACCTGTATCGCATAGGTGGGTTGCATTTTTTGTTGCTTGCGGTTTTCTTCATCAGGATTTTTCTTTGTAGGGATGCAGTAGCTAAGGGCTTGAGTTCCCGAAAATGTAGACCTATTTTGACTCATTCTAATGCAATAAGACGCGAATCTGGTGCTCAGACCGATATATCAGCATTGCCTGGATCTGCATGGAGATCTGAAAGTAGTATAGGCAATAAGGTAGACTATATTTTTCACATGCAGGGTTTCTTAAAAATACCGACAAACTTCTGGGGTTGTTGGGAAATTTGGTGTAAAAAAATGTTAAAGTCCCCCGAGACGATTTTAATTACATGTTTACATTTTGTGGCTTACCAGGGAAAGAATTTTTTTCGGATCAATTGCAATGGCACAGTGATTTCAGGCCTCTTAAGGGACAACTGGGCATTTTTTTAAGTAATGAACCGCATAAATAATGAATTATACTTGGGAATTTTACGTCTTATAGGACTTCGATTGTGAGAAAAAAATGACTTATGGATAGACAAAATTATATTTTATCATAATTTTTCAAAAGGCTAAAGACACAAGTATTTACAAGAAAATCGGCCCTGTGAGCAGGCTCTTGGAAATACTTTATTATTATTGTATTTGATTAAAAACGCCTTCCTTAAAAGAAGATTTCCGTGAGTTTACGGCGTGTGCTTCTTAAATATTGCGACAAACTTCTACACAACTTTTTGAAGACCTGAAACGATTTTAAGGAATGTTTTACATTTTTTTGTTGGCCAGACTGGAAATCTTTTGCAACTGCAGCAGAAAAGGCAATATTTTTTCGTTTGAGAATTTTCCTTATTATGCACTACGTAATATTCCCTAAGTTTTGGCCGTGAATATTTTCTCAGGCGATGGTTCGATTTGAATAATTTTTTTATCGAATTATTCATGGACAAAATTTAAGTTTTTAGATAAGCAAAAAAATAAAATGAGCCAGTGAGATGAATTCAGTGAATCGACTAAATCAAAGTTTAAAACTATCTGCGAGCAATATGGAATATCCCAGGAAAATTATACGATGTTATAGCTTCATGTATTCTGAGTAACTTGGATCTTAAATCGTCTGTTTGCCCTGGGCAATTCGAGAGATATTAATTTTTTTAGGACCAGATACATTTTCCGCGCAAAGTTTACTTTATGTGCGAACAACATTCTGCGCTCTGTCAATGAGTTGTTCAAGTTTTAGCTTCCTTAAATATAAAGTATTGTTGATTTTACGCTTGAGGATATTGTTTTTTGTTTTCTTTCTTTATGCAATTACATAAGTAGTAAAAGAAACACAGGTTGGCCGCTCTAAGCTTCTAATAAAAGTTTATTTGTACAGCCTTCTTCGGAACAGAAAGTTTAAATACATTTCGTGAGGAAAATGTGGCCGGTCAAAAAAAATTAATATCGCTCGAATGGTTGACGTTAAACAGACCATTAAGTATCTAAATTATTCAGAAGATCTGAGACTATATATAACGATGTTTATTTTTCTGTCTGAGCTACACGGACAATATATTGTCCGCAGACGAATTTCAACTTTAACCAAGAAAATATGACACTATTTAAACACCCTGTACGAAATGTTTATTACATTCTTTTGCTTATCTTTTAACTCAAATTTTGTTTAATTTAAGAATAGAGCTATCATTCGTTAAAACAAATGTTCAAATCGGTTTACCGATTGAGAAAATATTCACAGTCAACTTAAGGAATATTTCAGAAAGGCGATAAATTTGCGCTCGAGTGTACTTTGAATCAGAGAAAAAATGTATGTTTGACTTATTAATAGAAGAAATTATTATGTAATCATTTAATTTCTTATTTAATTTTACCTTAATTGTTTAAAAGGTTGATACTGTGAACACGCTCTTGGAAATACTATTAGATACTTAACTGTATTTTATCCAATAAACATCTAAATTTTAGTTAGAGTTAACAACCAAGTCAAACTTGCAGAAACCGCGTCTTTTTCAGATATTGCGAAAAGATCTTTAATCGTTTATCCTGGGCCATTCGAGAGATATTCATTTTTTGTGACCGAATATATTTTCCGCGCAAAGTTTACTTTTTTGTGCGAACAATAGTCTGTGCTCTGTCAATGAGTTGTTTGTGTTTCCTTAAATATAAAGTACATATGTATTCTTGTTTTTACGCTTAAGGATATTGTTTTTTGTTTTATTTATTTATGGAATTCAGTAAAATTCGGTAAAATAAAAAGAGGTTGGCACCTCTAAGCTCCTAATAAAAGATTATTTGTACAGCCTTCTTCGGAACAAGAAAAAGTTTAAATACATTTCGTTCGGAAAATGTGACCGGTCATAAAAAATTAATATCTCTCGAATTGTAAGACGATTAAGTATCGAAATAACTCAGAAGATCTGAGGCTATATATATAATAACAATGTATATTTTTCTGTCTGAGCTTAACTTTAACCAAGAAAATATGACGCTATTTAAACGCCCTGTACAAAATGTTTATTACATTCTTTTGCTTATTTTTTAACTCAAATTTTGTTTATGAATAGATCTATGATTCGATAAAAGAAATGTTCTAATCGGTTTACCGATTGAGAAAATATTCACAGAGACAAGTAAAAAATATTTAAGAAAGGCAAATTTCTTAAATTTGCGCTACAGTGTACTTTGAATCAGAGAAAAAAATTGTTTGATTGATTTATTAATAGAAAAAATTATTATGTATTCATTTAATTTTACCTTAATTGTTTAAACCTTACCTTAATTGATTACTGTGAACACGCTCTTGGAAATATTGTATTAACTGTATTTGATCCAATAAACCTCTAAGTTCTAGTGAGTTAACAAACAAGTCAAACTTGCATAAACCTTGTCTGAAGCATTTTCAGATATTGGAAAAAACCTATTTTTGTATCTCAAAGAATTTTGCTTTTGGAATTAAGTTTTTAAAGCAAAACGTTAGTCTTAATATCCCCTACCAACCTTAAAAGTCTGTCGGTATGTAAACGCTCTGTACACATCTGATTAGTTTTGAGAATCTTGCGGCCAAAAAATGTAATAAATTATTAAATTGATAAATGAATGTCGAAAATTCGAGCCGCAAGTGTTCGCGAACTTGCATGTCAACGTAGTTACGGATTTACGTATTCTGGAAACACTCGGATTTTAGGCAAAATTTGGTGACACCTTTACTACTTTACCTTCAAAGTATCCCCTACCAGGGTCCAGATTGAGGTTGTCTGAGAAAACGGTTGAAGCCAGACGGGTTTTATTATCTGACATCGGTTTTACAAGCATGGTGCCAGAATTATCCCGATCCGCTGACCATTTGTCTGGCCCTGGATCTCTAAAACCTCCAACTGTAACTAGTTATGGTCAATTTTTGAAGGCGACAGATTTATATTCCCCTAGTTGTCTGGTAAAAATATCAGATATTAATAAATCCTCAAGTTCTTTGTTCGAAATGTAACATTTTAGTCAAACAAATTTGCTTGGACGGCCACGACAGCCACTCCAAGTGAATCTAGCCGGACACCATCTCGCTACAGCAGCATTTATCCTTTGTCGCCTCCAGCACCATCACGAAGGTGCTCCGCACCAGTGTCACCTTCAAGGCGGGCTCTATTAAAAAACACACCTTCAAAAGTAGGCACTTTCCCACTACTGCCTCAACATTTTACTTGATTTTAAAATGTTTTGAAGGTTCGGTTTGCCAACGGATCTCTGCCTGAATTACGATCCGATTGGTCCACTGTGGACAGTGGCGATAGCACTGATTCTTTGGTGGATGAAGCGGAAGTTTACCTAAGAAGGTCCATAGATTGTTTTGTGACCTCAAAAGATCCCATGTCGTATGGGTAAGGAAATGTTTTTCTTTGTTTGTCCACCCCAGCAATAATTCCAATAATCGTTTCAGAGATAGTAGAAGGATGCCTCCACGTAGAGCATCAGCTCCAGAACCGACTAGGGATAACGTTCCTCCTCAAGGATGGCAACCATTCTTGCCCAGACTTCCTCGGGATTTGAAACCGGAAAACTGGGTCAAAGTGATCACTTCCGAAGGTAAAGTTAGAGGTGGTCGGGTTAGGTACGTAGGCCCGGTAGTTATGCCCAGTCAAGAGCATTTTGTGGGTGTGCAGTTGAGTTTTCCCGAGGGACTTAGTGATGGAACTTATGGGGGCAGAAGATACTTTCAGTGGTAAGTTTGTAGGGAAGCGTTTGCAGGTAGTTTTCACCTATATAAGTATTATGCATGTAAGTAAACATTGTAGATAAGTTCTATATTGTTGAGACGGATTCACTTTTCTACAAACTTTTTTTTGGGTATTTTGCCTCAAATTTTTTTGTCTTTAAAAAAGACATTCCTCACGTCTTTTATTACAGATTGATAAATAGTGCTCCTATTTCGCAATAAGAACGAATTATTTATCAAAGAGTAATCCAGAACTATCACCTAGAGGGTATCCT